GCACATTTTTCATCGCATTCCTTATGGTTGCAAACACTGTTGACTTAGGTTATTACCGTGTGACGATGATAATTGTCAGAACTGCTGCGATCATTACTTTATCTTGGACACAACATTCTCCTTAATCCTGTTCAACCCTTTGACAGGGATCTCACGATATTTCGGTCAGAAAATTGCGAAGCTTTTGTCATCCCTCCGGCTCCGGCAGAAACTTGCACTTAGCAGTTCTTACGTTATCCGTAAGCAGCTGCTCGAAAATACGAATCTTGAGATCTTATTGCATTTTAGTACACATGTCGTATTTTTCCTTGATTTCTCCTTGAACAACCGTGCACCAGTACTCGTCTAGTTTTAAAGCAGACAACAATTTAATAAATCTAAATCTTAAGGTTAGAATAAAACAGATAGGTAGTTGTTTGAACGATTCAAGGCACCAAAAAAACAACAGGTGGCCGAACAGTTCATTGCCAGCGCGTTTCTTTCCATATAACTTAGTGTCATTATGGTTGGTCGGATTACAAATTACTGCTCGAAGGCATTTATGTCCAACGAGGGAACAATACGAGTTTCTCCATTGGCTCATCCTTGATTTTCTTCACCTTCTATAACCGCTTCTCCTTCTCTCGAGGAGGCAGACACGTCAAACAGATCTTCCAACGTTCCCGATCCTGTGCCAGAGTCTGAGCTTCGGCAAAAGACAACTAGAGTCTGGAGCAGACACCTTCAATATATTTGCACTAGGCTAATCTTGGCCGCCCCCTGGGTCTTCTGCTGGTCGATTGAGCAAGAAACAGTTGTTTGGCCTTCTTTTCTAGAGGCGTTCGCAGCACTTGCTCAAACCATCGTAGCTGTGACCTCTGAATCTGAAGTAGCAGCAGCTCTAAATCAAGACCGTCGTCGCTATCAGCGAATCAATGAACCGCGCCGATTTCACCTCGTTTCGTTGTAAATCCCTTCTCACTGTGTGGAAGGTGAACCCAAGACTGAGGTGTGTTGATGACGGTTATTTAAAAATACTAACCTTCATCAGATACTCCTGGGACTGTCATTCATGAGTAGGTGAAAGAGGCAAGTGCCCAACTATTTTAGGAAAGAAGACAACATCATCACATGATAGAAACCTAAAAATTTATACGGTCGAAGATGTCGTACAGTGAGACTAGTACAGTTCAGAATTCTGGAAAATAGGGCACAAACGAGCACTTAACGGAAATCGTTTACCTGAGGCAGGGCAATCAGTTGCACAGGAATCAGCAACAGTCGTCTTTCATTTCAGCAGAAAATATCGAGGTCAAAGGTTAACGCACCTAAGAAATGAGGGTAAGTAGCGGAGACGGCAGAGTCGCTTACGACGACTCATTCCCCTTCCAAATGAAATGTTGCCCGCCGTCACCACTTTAAATTTGACTGTCGCACCATCAGATAATCTTGAGACGTTATTTATTTTTGAATAAACTAATTTATTATCCTGTGATATCTTAGCAACACAACAAACTTTTTGCGACATCTGCAGAAGAAGCTACCGCAGCAGCTGTTCAATGAAGTCAATATGTCAAGCAAAGACTTGCATTTGTTTACTTAGAATAAGCGTAAACTTATGCTCAGCTGACCGGAAACTATATTCCATTAGTCAATTATACTGACACCGAGAAGTCACTTCTTTCCCGTATTTGATTTCATTTTCAATAAAAGCCATGAATGGCTATAAATCTGTGATTGATAAATTTATTGATCGTAAAACTGATGAGAATGCCCAAAAGTCATGACATTTGCAGCTATGAAATCCAAAGACTGTGGTAGTCACTGATTTGGTCGCTCGAAAGCAATCAATGTAAAATTGGTCACAGGCAATTAAACCGCAAGCGTTTTGAAACTTTTAAACGTGAGCCAAGGACGAATCGGCATTTCCTCAGAAATTTCCTCCTTAGCAACCAAAACAATTCCATAGCTGAAAATAATGCCTCCTTCCTTAGGGTATGAGCACTTTCCTTCATATGCGTCTCTGAACCGGTTTGCTTCCTCCGGCGTTTTCTCAACCAACAACAGCTGCCGAAAATAGCAATCGTTTCACTTTCACTTTCCATGGCCCCTATTTCTTTCGGGTCGCAAAGGCAGACAAGTTGGAAGGCAGACTTTCCAACGCTTCCGATTCTATTCCAGTGATGAGCTTCGGTAGAAGACAACAGAGGTCTAGAGCAGATTCTTTTCATATGTTTGCAGCGGGAGAATCTTGACCGTGCCCTGGGCCCTCTGCTGGCCGGGTTGACAAGAAATAGTTGCTTCGCCTTCTATGTCCAAACCATCGCAGCTGTGACTTTTCAGTCTAAGGAAGCGTTACATGAACATGAACAACGCTTTCGCGAATTTCTT